AAAAATCAAACATACTTAGAAGAGAGTAACAAGAATGTTCATTTATGGGTGGGGGGGAGGGTAAATGAAAGGACTGGAGATATTCAAACCAGAAAAGAGAAAAAAGGTGTATGTACATTGTCTTCAAATATTGGAAGGGTTATCATGAGTGAAAATGAAAACAATTACTCTGTGTATTCCCAGAAGAGAGGCCTAGGGACAATTAGCAGAAGCTAGGCAGCGGTTCTCAACCTGTGGGTCGCGGTTCTCAAACTGTGGGTCGCGACCCCTTTGGGGATCGAACGACCCTTTCACAGGGGCGTCGCCTAAGACCATTGGAAAACACATATATAATTACATATTGTTTTTGTGATTAATCACTATGCTTTAATTATGTTCAATTTGTAACAATGAAATTGGGGGTCACCACAACATGAGGAACCGTATTAAAGGGTCGCGGCATTAGGAAGGTTGAGAACCACTGAGCTAGAGGGAGTCAGATGGAAGAATTCTCTAATGTTCTGAGCTTCCCAGGAAAGAAAAGGCAGCCTTAAGAGGTGGTGAGTTCCCTAACATTCAAGGTCATCGAACACAGTCTAGATGATCACCACCTGGTGGGTGGGTTTGGAGAGAATTCATTTATTGACCAGGAGTTTGAATGAAATGCTCTTACTTTAAGGTTACGCTGTAACACTGAGATGTGTTTAATCTAAAGATCAACCCCATTTCCTTGTTCTAAGAAATCTAATCCCAACACATGTTGAGCAGAGGGGAAAAAAAAATACAAGATGAATAAGTTAAATGAAAAGCAATACCCAGGTATAAATAGAACGTGACGCAGAACTTTAGAGGAAGAAATGGCAAACTAACAGGAAAATAGAATCCAGCACAGCAGCAGAGAAACGCTGTGAAGCACAAACCAAGGAACAGAGTAAAGGAAAGGCGAAGACCCCATCAGTGACAATACCGTGTACAGGGGATGCCTTTCTCTTTCTTGAGAAACGGTTTTATTCATTTTTAAGACTTTTCTCTTCCGTCCGTGGGAAAGACAGACCAGAGGAACATGGCAGCGTAGCAGCAAAGGGGGGGAGGTTCAAGTGGTAAAATGAGCGAAGCTCTTTCGTGATCACTGAGTGTCTGGCCTCAAATAGATGTGTGTGCCTATAGGGTCAAGCGCACAGGCATGGAAGCCACTGTGGATAACATCGGGATGTAAGAATGACTAAGGGAAGCAAGAAAAACTGGAAATTAAAACTTGGCTTTCTAACAAAGCCAATATGGAAAAAACACGCACAAACCACCTAGAAAATGAGATGTGTCGAGAGCAAAGCCACAAAGGAAACAAAAGAGAAAGAAAACGTTAAAAAGTTATCTCAAGCACATTTCATCTGAACTTTATCACCATTTGTAATCAACTTCTGAAGTTTCATAATACCCTTTAACCTTAGTTACGCAACCCACTGAACAAGTCATCTCATTGTTACCCGACTTGAAGGAAGAGGGGAGACTCTTTTCATGTTGATAAGAGATAGAAAAAGGAGTCACTCCCAGGGGGGGAAAAAAAGTGTTCTGAGTCAGCTCCTGGAGCCTAATGGTAAGGAGTGGTGATAATCTTTCGCTCGCCTTAACCCTTTCAAAGATTCATGGCACCTGAAGTTAGACATGCATGACACTGAAAAAGTAAAAGTAACTTTCATTTAAATAAACAGAGACTTTTCATTAGAAGACAAAAGTAGAAATTGTTTCTTATTACTCACCCATTTCCTAGGTCGGCCTCGTGGCCGTTTTTCTCCAGTGGCTTCTGCTTTCTGCAAAATGAAAAAGGAAGTCAAATGGTTTCCTACCTGACACCATGCACCAGGGCTCACCAAGGCACACGTGTGAAGCGTGCATGCCCGACTTGCAGAGGTGATTTTAAGAACTGTTTTAACCATCTCTTCCTTTTTTTTAGGTTCATCTTCTCCCTTTTTGATTCTTCTTTCATTATATGATGTCAATAGATACAACCCTGAACACAAAAGACTCCCCTGGAGTGATTTTCTTTTATTTCTAGCCATAATAAAAAATGACTCCCACATATCCACAATTACGTAAAGTATTTTAGAAAATTAATGTTTCTTAAGCGACGATTTCCTTTCCGTGTCACTAAAGTCACCAAATTTAATACTAGTGCATTGCTTTATAATTTACAAGACACTTCTACATTGCTAGTCAAAAACAAGTCTAAACATAAATAAGACATAGGATTCTGATTTTAAAAAAACATTTGCTTATTTCTAGAGTTAATTTCCTAGTCCTTGCCAAAAAACAATCACCTGTCAATCAGTTCACTTACAGCAGAGGGAAAAATAGCTGGAAGAAAGTATCAGTATTTGGAAACTATGGATATTAAAATAATAATAAATATGTACATTAACTCTCCACTCAACACAGATATGGCATTAATATATTTTCTATTTTGAGAGTTTGTTTTATTGCTTTACTCCATAAATATTTTCTGATATCGTGGTTATTTTTTCCCTTTGAGTCAAAATTTTAAATTTTCTATCAAGTATTTTCCCTGCGTTTATCACCCTATTCCAATCCCCAAATGCACCAACACACACACACACATACACACACACACACATCACACATACACACAAATCACATACACCTTCTATAAAAACAGGATAAAGAACACTTGGTACATACTTCTGTGTATGAGAATCATCCCAAGGCTATCTGAACACAAAAATGTAGGTAACTTGAGCTAGAATAACTTGTTTTGCATTTTACTTTTGTTACCTGGGGTAGCAGCCAGTAGATACTTAACACAATGATACTAAAAGTACCTGTTATTACTGTCTACACTGTCAAATGAGAATCTCCTCTTTCTCGTTTCAATTTGCCTGGTAAAAATAGATTGACACAGATGATAGATAGATGATAGATGATAGATAGATAGATAGATAGATAGATAGATAGATAGATACAGAATAAGCCACAAGATTTCTCACTAAGTAACTCCCTGGCCTGGCATTAGTATCCAACAGGTCCCATGCATTAACCCAAACTCCGTATAATTATAATGCTAGTTCACATTGATTTAGCATTTAAAATACCCCAGGCAAAGGGCTAAGTCATTCACATGTTATTTATCCTTACAAGAGCCTTGCAAGGTAGGTATTACTTTTTCTCTTATTTTGCAGATGAGCAACTAGGTTTTAGATGGGGAGGTAAACAACTCAAGGGCACACACACAAAGCTGGTAAATGGCAGATCTGGGATTTGAACCCAGTTCTGTTGGGCTCTAAGGACTGGGCTCCTACTCCCCAGCAGGGCTGCAACCTTCCCACAGGCATTTGCTACCACAAGGAGATATTTTAATTAACTAAAGTCATCACAGATTCAGCTAATTTCCCAGAACAGAAGGAAACCTGGCAGAGCCTTTGTCTATAACCCTGGGACTGGGCGCTCTGAATCGCCGTTTCCTACTTCCCAGTCGCTCCACAGAGGAATCGCTTATTGTCAGGGGTTAGTGGTGTTGTCTTAACTTCAGTCATAAGGGCAGGAATGAGATAGGTGAGAGCCTGGAGTGCCCAGTGAACCACACCCTCTTTCTGGGTGTTCTCTCAGAGAGAGGGGGCAGTATCTTAACAGAAACACAGACTCCTCTTTGGAAAGCTTGGACTCAAACCCCTGCTCTGACATTTTAGCTTTAGGACTTAGGGCAGGTCCCTGAAAACCCCCATTTGGTTTCATATGTGAAATGGAGATAATGCCTCCTGTGAGGAGTGAAGTGCCCGCCCTAAATGAGGTGCGCGAGAAATGTTCCTTCCCTCCTAAGGAGATGGAACTCTTAAAGGGAAAGTTTTCCTTCAGGTTAGTCCAATCTCACAGAAGGTTCGGTCAATGCAAATATTCCATTACACCCACCTGTCACCTTTAGAATGAAGCTTTTAAGAAACCCTTTGGCTAGTACATAGTGAGTTACACAAGTACAGAATTGTCTAATACAGAAGCAGCGTCTGATTTGGTATTTGGGAGCATAACTTACCCAGTAGTAAATTACACAGACATGGAAGATAGAAATCCTTCCTAATGGGCTTGGCGATGAGAGGTGGAGTTGAGGGGAGGGGGCTATTGACCTTAAAGCAGCGGTTCTCAACCTGTGGGTTGAGACCCCTTTAGCGGTCAAATGACCCTTTCACAGGGGTCGCCTAAGACCATCCTGCATATCAGATATTTACATGACGATTCATAACAGTAGCAACATTACAGTTATGAAGTAGCAACGAAAATAATTTTATGGTTGGGTCACAACATGAGGAACTGCATTTAAAGGGCCAGAAGGTTGAGAACCACTGCCTTAAAGGCTAGCACACCAGGCTTTCTCTGCACAGTTGTTACGTTTCAGGGGCCATGATGTGGTCCGGATGCATCTAACTAAACCCTGTGGAAGAGAAGGTTGTTTTCTAAAAGGGTTTCATTGCATTTCAAAAGTCAGAGAAAGCAACTCTCTGAGAGAGAAAGCCCTGCAAATCAGAGGATTTTAAAATGAGCATCTCAACTACAGAAAGTCTATTCAAAAACAAAATTCGCACCATTTTCCAAAGGGCAAAAAATATCACAACTGTCACTTGGACTTGTAAAAAGCAAACTTGCTGCATGGTCTTCGGGCCAGAGTTACATGTAAACCGAAACCCTCTTCTGAGACTCCATCTAGAAGAAACACATTAGCTGTGCTGTGCGGCCTCGATCTGGGAGGTTTTCATTGTTCCTTAAAACCCACATTATTTAATCATTCTGATCAAACCTCACAGAGGCTGCAAAACAAGTTAGGATTTTAGTTTGTAAACCAGCATAGATCCAGGGTTTTTACACAGTGCAAAACACAGGCTTTAACTGCACCCCACCCCCCTTGTGTTTAATGCTCTCCAAGATATTATTTTTCTATAGAAGACAAACAAAACATTCTGGGATCTTGTTTTGTTTTTAATATGTCAACATGTGTATAGCGTGGAGGGGTATATTTGGTTTTCCTTTGCCAGAGTGGAATTGGGTTCTATACTGCAAACCCACATATAATTGAGACAACAACGCATTCTAAATGTTTCCTGCTTATCTGGGAGGGGAAGCAGAAATTCTACATTTGTAAGAACTGAAATTTCAGACCATGACTGGCATTGTTATACTAACATTTGCAACTATCATATCATATCTTGTTAAAAGTGTTACTGCTTGTCCTCATTCATATTGGTTTGTTTAAAAAGTTTAGATTCAGACCTGAATCTTTAATTTTATAATATACTCAGAAGCAAGTTCATGAGAGCTGGGAGAAATGCTAAATGGGAAATATAATTATTTCTTTCTCTAAGGAGTTCTGATACTCCAAGCTTTTAAATGCACTCTGCACTTAAAAAATAATTAAGAAAGGAAATTCATCTAGCAAGTATAACTCTTGAATTTGAACCAGTGCTTTGCCTGCCGCACAAGACATGCTCACTATGTATTTATTGAAGAAGGAAGGAAGGAACAAAAGAAACACTACTGTTTATGTCACGTGTGTGTCTTGTTTCCCTCTTGCTATCAGAATGCTACAGCTTGGTAGGACTTGTGGGTAAGACTTTAAAAAAGCATTTCATCTTTAACGAGTTAAGAAAATTTCCGGGTGTCTTACGACCTCCAAAAGCATAGCCCTGTGGTTTATTTGGGGGACAGCGTTCTGTGGCACACATCTGCAGCCCTTTATAAGTTTGTAAAGAGCTGCCATCCAAAGGTTTCTCAAAACCTAACTTTCAACCTGCATTTCAGGTTACCGAAGATAACAGTCTTCTGGCAAACATCTTACAAAATATTTGACAAGTTGCATGTAATACAGGAAAGATCACAAGCTTTAGGAGGAGATTTGAATTCAAACCCAGGCACCACCATTTGCTAGAGTTGAACACTAGATGTGTCAGTTTCTCATTTGTGAAATGAAGACCAAATGCCTACATCAGAGGATGAAAGGAGCTAATATATGTTGTAAAGTGCCTGACAACAGTGACAGCATTTAGAAGGTACGCGAATGTAATTTCTTCTGCTCTCCACATTTTAAACTGTTACCCTTTAAAAAAGTACCTCCCAGTTCTGTAAGTTTCCATAGTGGTTTTCTGAGCATCCTCTTCCTCCCTGTTTCACAAATGGGAGGTTAAGCCATCTGCCCACATTTGTACGTAGTGGAACTGAGACCCAATCTGATTTCAAGGCAATCAGGGGTCTGTTACTTTGGGAGATGTTCCCATATGAAGTAAAATAGCCATGGGAGGATTTTAAAAAATCAAAGCCTTCTAGGGTGAGAAACAAGTGAGTAGTTAAAAGTATAACATTTCCAAGTTTCCTATAAAGACGTGGACAGGAGCTGAAATTGGGAGCCAAGAGAATTATCCAGTTCTGACTTCTGGATAGCTATGAATTTTTTGCTAATCTAAATGCTCTTATCACATTTTATATGTACTGTGATAATGCATGAAAGCCAGAACTCTCCCTTCTTTTTCTTTTCTTTTTTTTAATTGATTTTTTTACAAAGAGGAAGGGAGAGGGATAGAGTTAGAGACATCGATGAGAGAAACATCGATCAGCTGTCTCCTGCACACTCCCCACTGGGGATGTGCCCGAAACCAAGGTACATGCCCTTGACTGGAATCGAACCTGGGACCCTTGAGTCCGCAGGCTGATGCTCTATCCACTGAGCCAAACTGGTTAGGGCTGAACTCTCCCTTCTTTAATCAATCAGTGCATCTGAACAACAACAAAAAAGAGCTAGAAAAATATTTAGGCATAG